GTCAAACTTAGACTTGTCTTTCTCATTATCTTCTTCGAGCACTTTCAAGATCCAAGGATCTACAGTTTTCAATCTGACTTGGAAAGATTGAAAGATAAATGAAGGAAAAGAAAAGGATGAGATTAAAAAAGCAAAGCTGATTTTCAATTTTTAAAGTCATCTCACTCAGTTACCGCTGTGATTCTTTTCGGGCTTTAGGCAAAACTTTTCCAACGCTGGACCCCAGGACAGGGGAAGTAATTGCACATGTTGCTGAGGGTGATTCTGAAGATGTAGATCGAGCAGTTGTCGCTGCACGTAAGGCATTTGATGAAGGGCCTTGGCCAAGAATGACAGCCTATGTATTCACCTCTAACGCTAATTTCTAATTTCGCTTTTTACCGCCTACAAGTTCTGAACTTTGTTCCATTTTTTCCCCTCGTACAAATGTAAATTACAGGAAAGACAAAAGATATTGTTGCGTGCTGCTGATCTTATTGAGAAGCATAACGATGAGCTTGCGACACTTGAGACCTGGGATAACGGGAAGCCCTATGCCCAAGCTGCTCAAATTGAAGTTCCAATGCTAGTTCGCCTAATTCGATACTATGCTGGTACGGGTTCCAACTTCCAACTAATGTATAACTTCTACGATAGATTCTATTCTACTTCCAAATTTCTAATAGTTCGACGTCTGAATTCTTCAGGTTGGGCTGATAAGATCCATGGCCTCACGGTTCCTGCTGATGGACCATATCATGTTCAAACATTGCATGAACCAATTGGTGTTGCCGGTCAGATCATTCCCTGGAACTTCCCACTACTCATGTTTGCATGGAAGGTTGGGCCTGCGTTGGCATGCGGCAACACTATCGTTTTGAAAACAGCTGAACAAACGCCATTATCTGCTTTATATGCAGCAAAGCTATTCCATGAGGTAGGTGACATTGAGTCACACACATTACACCAAGCTTTTGTTGAGAGCGACTTTTTTCTTTTGTGAAAAAATTTTAATTATCTAATTTCAATGGATGATTATGTAGCTTGAGTTATGATTTGTTTTTGACATTTAGTGTACCTCATGTTAAGTCCCTTCTTTTAGAAAACAATTTCTAGTTTCATTGCTGAACATGCCACATCTATTCAGTGGGGACTATTTTTGTTGTTATGCATTAGTAGTTTCTCTCTCTCGCCTATGTATTTATTAGTCTAGCTCGCGGGTACGTATTTACTTAACATTCTGTGATTTTGATAAGCTTGAATCACTTCTTCATGTGGTTGAACTCATTTTTGCATTGAAGAAATTAATAGATTGTTGTACCTGTATCCAATCCTCATATTGATTTTATCATCATTCTGGCAGGCTGGGCTTCCGTCTGGTGTTTTAAATATTATATCTGGCTTTGGTCCAACTGCTGGTGCTGCTGTTGCTAGTCACATGGATATTGACAAGGTAACAAGATAGTTTAGTTTGCAAGAGCACTCGTTTGTTTCAAGTATGACTTTCTCTCCACCCTTTATGGCCTTTGGTTGTCCACTCTGTTTTGGAGCTTGACATTTGCAGCTGCTTTGATGGTCAACTGGAGTATTTCATCGCAGCATGAATGAGTTTCAGGCTCAAAATAAGACGATTGAAGTTTGACCACTTGTTTTGGAAAGGAACAATTTTTCGTGATAGTACTCTTATTGACATTAATATTTCTGATTTCTAGGCTTGGGAAGTTTCAAATCCTAATTTCATAATTAACTCATTGAAATGGATTATAAGGATGACGGCAGTTGAGCCTGAACTTTCTATACCTCTTGCAGGTTGCTTTTACTGGATCAACTGATACTGGAAAAATCGTCCTCGAACTGGCAGCGAGAAGTAATCTCAAGACTGTAACTTTGGAACTTGGAGGGAAATCTCCCTTCATTGTATGCGAAGATGCTGATGTAGATCTAGCTGTAGAGCAAGCGCACTTTGCATTATTCTTTAATCAGGTTTGTAAAAAATTAGAATTACTCCTTTGTCTTCTCTCTCTCTCTCTCTCTCACGCACACACAAACACACGTCTATGTATGTTTATGTTTAACATGTATAGTTGTTGGATCCTGCTATGCAGTCACGTTCCTTAAGGATTATTGATAAATTGGATTTACGGACATTCTTTCGACTGCAGGGACAATGCTGCTGTGCCGGTTCTCGTACATTTGTACATGAAAGTATATATGATGAATTCGTTGAAAAAGCAAAGGCACGTGCCTTGAAACGTGTTGTTGGTGATCCATTCAAGACGGGAATAGAGCAAGGTCCTCAGGTAATTTGCAAAGAAACTTTTATGGTAACCCATTTATGAACTTAATGGTTTCAAAGTTTGTTTGAGAATCTGATATATTGACAGTCTCCCATTATTGTGCTTCACTAGCTCAATAATGAAGTGATGACTTGAAATATATAACTCCAAGTTTGACGCTTTACAATGTCGTAACGCATAGAACGAATGATTAATTGGATTTCGTCCTGTTTTATTGCGGAACAATCACACACACTGACAATTTCATGTATGATCATAATAACCAGATTGATTCTGAACAATTTGAGAAGATACTGAAGTATATAAGATCTGGTGTTGAAAGTGGAGCCACTTTAGAAACTGGAGGAGAGAGACTAGGAGATAAAGGCTTCTATGTCAAGCCCACAGTGTTTACAAATGTTCAGGTATATCTGTTGCTTGCAGAGTCATCTTATCTTAGGTAGAACTAAAAATATTAAGTGTTACTCATTATAAAAACATTCAGGACAATATGTTGATTGCGAAGGATGAGATATTTGGCCCTGTGCAATCCATTTTGAAATTCAAGTGAGTACAATGGTCCCTCTTTTACTGACAATGCTTTTTGGCGCATTTTCAAATTTTGATCATGATGTCAATTTTCTATATTTGGTTCTCCATTTTAAGGAATCTCATTGTTGTCCTTTAAAGTGACTTCTTCCACGAGTACCGTCCACACGTAACAGGCAGAGTAACGAAAATGCTGACATGTCTTAACATCAAACCAACATTCACAGTTTGATTGTCACGTTATTCTTGTTCTTAGTTAATGTGAGTGCTGTATGTTGATGGAAGCCAAGTTGAAGGACTACAATGTGGACTTAAGAAATGAAGAAACTGACTGAGGAAAAGTGACATCTTTAAGGATCAAGAAATTCACTCATTATCTCTGTTTCTTGCACTGATTTTTTGGTCGTTTCCAGGGACCTCGATGAAGTGGTTAGAAGAGCAAACAACACACGCTATGGCCTTGCTGCCGGGGTGTTCACGAAAAACATAGCCACAGCAAACACTCTGACTCGAGCACTGCGAGTTGGGACAGTGTGGGTAAATTGCTTCGATACATTTGATGCTGCAATTCCTTTTGGAGGGTACAAGATGAGTGGGCAAGGAAGAGAAAAAGGGATTTACAGTCTTAAAAATTACTTGCAAGTGAAGGCCGTCGTTACTCCCTTGGAGAACCCAGCATGGCTTTGAACATATATTTAGCTCCTTCTTTCCCTTCCCCTTTCTCTTGTGAAAGATCAATAAATAGGCTTCTTTGTGAAGACGATGACGAAATTCTTGTATGTATGCTACACATCTCCCGATGTTTTCTTTTTCTTTCATCTAGTGGGATGCTTGAATGAAGTTGTGTAGCCTTTGTTTTATGACTTTATCCCCACCTGAGTGTTCTTTCTTTACTTCTCTCCAGCCTTATTTTTCCTAGACTATTTTTTATATCCAAGCATAGATATTATTCTACCAGAGACAATTTTATTCAAGATATTATCGGATATTAAATGTGAGCACCTCTCTTAGCGATGGATTTGAACATTAATTTGTCATATCGTGAAAAATTAACCCTTTTGTTATTCCTAATTTTCATTGGTTATTTTTCTTGTATTATTATATCTCTCTAAAAGCAAGTTATATCCTAGGTCCTGTTTGGAATCAGCTTTGGGTTACTTATAAGCACATTTTATATAGGTAGAGCTAAAACTCCTCTTATTGTAAATTACGATTAAAAAATAGCTTATAAGTCATTTTAAACGGGCCAAGCTAATGAAAAAGAATCAAACCCTGAAATGGATTGTGATGTATATTGGGTTGAGTTTGGTTCATGATAGACAAACGAACGGGGGAGGGCTAAAGTCAAGAATCTTTCATTGTATTTAAATAGAATCGTGAAGGCACGAGGCATTGACGCTTGTGGACGACAACAGGGAAATGAAACTTCAGTTCAGTGCAGGTTGGAGCCACATGGTCATGTCCCTCAAAATTGATTGTTTGGTTTAATAGATATTCTCTCTGTCTCTCCTCTGTTTCCTGTGTCTCTGATCAGAACCAGAGACCCAAAGCCTATATTAAAAGACGCTGCTTCTTATAACATCATTAAGATTGAAACATTGAACGTTAAGTGGCTTTCCCAAGAGAACCAAACAATGTAACTCTTCAAACTCACACAATTAACAGCATATATTCTGGATCCATGAATTTTTAATCTTGCTTCATTTAAATTTTTTTATTCTTAATCTAATAAACTTCATGTCCTTAGCGATCCAATCTTCAAAATTAAAATAATGTGAGAAGTATATCTCACGCTAAGGAAAAGGAAATAACTTGGTAGGTTTTTTGCACCAGTTAGTGCTCATTCTTTTCCAACCAAATACCTTTTGATATTAGAATATGCGTTCATGAGTTTAAAATAATTTTTTGAACATGACCTAGATTTTATTTTTTAAAGCAATTTAGCCAAATAAAATTTGAAACCTCACATAAATTTAGTCTTAAAGATGAGAAAAATAACTTCCTGATTTCATATTAGTTGAATAATAAATGGCTAACAATAGAAGGTTATTGGTACAAATTAAAGAGTTTAGAGAAATTCATTATTTAGTTTTGAAGGTCAAAAAATCATTTACTTGCATATGAACCAAAGTTTTGAGAATTCTTATACAGCATAGACTAACAAAAGAAAAAAATTACATGAGTTCAGACCTAATATGAGAAAAGATAGAGAATTACTTTCTGTCGAATCACTTTTACACTATTGGCTATCTTTATTCCAATCCCTGAACCAAAGAATTAAACATACAAGTGCAGCATTATTCCTTCCACCCTACTCAGGGTAGGTGAAATTAAAAAGGTATAAGTTGTTAAAAAAAATCTATATCTATAAAAAGTTAAAAAAATAATAATAACAACAAATAATATAGGTATATATATGCTTCAGTGGCATTCTGGAGGCATGACTTTGTACCTGGGTTTATCATTACAGTAAGAGTAAAACATGAGTTTCCTTCTTGCCCAATCCATGGCTGCAATCTGCTGCTGAGACAGCTTAGAGAACTCAGGTCCATTCACAGGGTCCAAGCTTGAAGGACTTGAAGAAGACTTTGAGCAGGTAGAAGAAGGATTTGAAACCTCACAACCACTTAATTCCATTTCAGTGAAAGAAACAACAAATGGAGCATACTTATAATTCACTGGGTATTTTCCTCCATGTGTTGCCCAGTCTGATGCATCCCATATTGTTGCATATACTGACATTGGCTTTGATGGGTATATAGAGTATGATTTACTGTGGATGAACTCTCTCACTGGAATATTGTCCACTAAAAACCTGAAATATTCATTTTAAGAGGATTTTTTTTAGCTAGTTTAAAAGAATATTCCTATTTCTATAATTTAGTCCAACTTGATAATGGAATATAAATGAACTGGCTTACACTGTGTGATAGCTGTTCCATAAGATACTGTAGTAGTGGTGCTGTTTTGTGGGGTCAAACCAGAGATAGAACTTCTCTTCTCTTCCAGTGCTGACACTTCCATTGGCATAAACATTGGTTTGAATTACCCAGTCGTTTCGCTTGTCATGCCCCAGAAGCTCAATATCTATCTCATCATGGTTGTGAGGGAACTTATCTGCATTTGACAACTGATATATTTCCTCTTGTGAGATAAACATATTAATAATAAGATTTAGAAGATTTCAATCCTTAACAGATTTTGATGAAAGCTTAAGAAGCAGAGAGAGAAATGAGAATGAAACAGAAATCAGACACTGCAAATTGAAGTGTCATGTTCTTGAGCTAAGAATTGAAGCTTACATAGAAGGCTACTACAACACCAGATGAAAGACCAGCTGGTAGCTTGATAGCTGCACTGAAGAATCCATAGTAGTATCTGCCTTGCGAGACCAAACCAGAGCCTGGAAAGCACCAACAATCAAAAGGGTATCATAAGAAGTTTCTGAAGACTCCAACTTTATGTATTGTTAAATACAAGAGCATCATGATATATATTCATTTTCAAACGAACCTGAATTTTTGTCAAGAGCCAGAGTGGCCATGGACCCATTACTGAGATACTGAATATTTGGGGCCCCAAAAAACTTAGAAAACCCACGATCAATTGGAACACGAGGAAAAGAACTAGTCAGAGGCGTGGCACTTGGAGGTTTATAAACTCTCCTATGTGAAGAAACCTCAATGGCAAAGCAGAGAATTAAGACTAGAACTGAAAATAGAAACTTCTGCTGCAAAAATGCCATCTTTTGAATAATATACAGAGATGAAGAGCACTAAATGGCATATTTGGGGTATATATATTGTGGGTGGTTTAGATGATCGTTATCTTGCGCTTAGTTGTTTAATAGCTGGCTATTCCTTTCTTAGTATCGCTTTTGATGTGTGCTTTGGATCTGCAAGGCAATGATCAAGAGGGTCATGTGCGTTGATTTCTTTGAGGTTTGGCCTGTGGGGTAGCCCTAAAGTTATAGGAACATGGACCAGACATTTAATGAATAACAGGTAACTCTGTAATATCCATTGTATGTCTCATTTTCTAAGTAGCTGTTGTCTACTGTATCTCAAATTGCCTATTCAAGTGCAGGCTTGTTAGTTAGAAACGCGTTTGTTTTTGATTGATTGAGAGAGAGAGAGAGAGAGAGAGAGAGAGACTCCAATTTGCACAAAGGAACAAAACAAAGCAATGATGGAGACAGGCTGATTGTGAAGTCCTTGGTGTTTATTCTTGGTCAATATTAAAAAAATTGAAACTCGAGGCAGATAATATCTACAAACTAACTGATAAGTTCTTCCTTTTGGCGAAGTTAGCGAAAGATAAAGACATCAAGATACAAAGCAATGATGTTTAGAAGTAAGTACCTCTTTTATTCATAATCATCTTTGTCATTTCAATTTTGATTCTTTTGCATGGAGTGAAAAGATTAATCACCAGGTAGATTGGATTACACAAAGCAACTTACGAGTTTCAAGTCCCAGTGTTATCGAGATCAAAGAAGATGAAATTTTGGGAAAAAGTGACGTGCAGAAAGAGTCCGTTAGAAGGCAGATCAGCACTAAACAGATTAATAAAGAGAAAGTGGATCTAGAAGCTTATATAAGTACTTGATATTTAGTTTAATGAGGGCTGATTAAGAAAAAGGTTTAGCTTTGGTAATGAGGAAGCAAAGTGCCATATGGTAGCGTGACGAGGACCAAATCTGCCAGGACCAACTTAGCTGGCATGCAGAAGAATGTAATATATACATATATATTTTTATATATATAATGACAGTGATAAACCAAAAAACAAAAGAGACATCAGAGTCAGATGCTTCTTGCTCTTATTGTTTTCTTTTGCTAATAATGCGTCAGAAGTTGCATGCATCGCATTAACGTTAAAAGGGGACGTGAAGGCGGTGGTGGTCACAAGCAATCATCGTTTTTTCCCCTTCATCTCACTATTCATTCGTCTATATTAACAATTATACACTGATTAATGTATATTATAATATTCTACTCGATCCAATCCTTAATGTAAAAATTAATTGGAGATTTAATTTAGTCCTAAATATAAAATCTTAATCTACTTTATTTCTTACATTTATCTATTTTGCCCCCAAGTAATCCATATTGTATATGTTAAGGAGTTTCTATCAGGAGGTAATTTCAATATAAATAATTAATGAGGATATTTTAGAAAACATAATATCTATTTATTACAAATAACTAATTTAGTTAATTTTCTTCAAACTCATTTGACTTATAAATTAATGTATAATCTAATAATATACATAAATATTTTAGAGATATCATGTAATATATGTTATAATTAAGTAATTTACTACTTTTTTTAATCTTTTCAAATTAGTTAACTGAGTCTTATATTAAGGACAAAATGCAATATATTATATATAAATGTCTATGTGTGGGCATATATAGACAGACACACATAAGGGTGGTAATACAGGTCAACCTGCGAGTTGGCCTGTGGTGGGGTAACGTTAAGCAATGCGGGTTGAAAAAGTCCCGTATAATGGCAGGTTGACTTTTACCCCAGCCTAACTCGCAATAGTGGGCCAACCCGCCAACTATATATATATTTTTTACTTTTTCATTTTAAAAAATTTTTTTGTCATGCAATATAAAGAAAATATAATGAAATTTTTATCGTTCCTTCAAATACTTGATTCAAAATACTAAATAAATGATATAGGTATTTTTTTAAATTTTTTTTTGGATAGGATATAAAATATAAATAATATGCATATAATAATTAATAAAATTTAAAAAAATACAAAAAAAAAAATGCGGGTTAGCCCGCTGGTTGGCAAGCGAACCTGTGACGGATTGTGGGTTAGGCGGTGAGGGTTAAAAAATTTTGTTTACTGGTGGGTTGACTTTTATCCAATCCTAACTCACCATTTCTAGTTGGTTGAGAGGTTAGACATGCAAATCCAACTCATATTGTCAACTCTAGTTCACACACACATGTAGGTTTCTTTTTCGTGGTGACTGAGGAAGAGAACAAGGAGGATCAAGTTGGATGTGCACTACTTTGGCTGGTCTTAGACCTTTTGTGCTTGGGAATGAAAAGGGTCCTTTTTTTTTTCCCTCTGTGGAGAATGGCTTCTTCCAACCAATTGTGGAGAAGCATTTGCATTTGTAAACCGTTGGATTAAATTTGATTAATCAAATTTAATGATTTTTAAAATATAAATTACTCATCTGGTCATGAGAGGCAGATAATAAAGAGTTAGTTTTTAAATTAACTAAGTATACTCTCTAAGATTAGATTTCAAAGGACTAATTACCAATTAGTATGCTGAAAAGTAAGCAATGGGCGATGACTCAGCCGGTGTCCCCACATGCCCCATTTATGCAAATTGGTTCGAAAGCTAAAGAAGGGCCGTTGCTGAGATGGATCTCCCAACTCTCCGTCTCCATCTGGTTTTATACCACTAGGCCTACCTGATACTGATAGCTCTTGCTCTACTTTGACATGGGCCATTTTACCAGATGCGAAAATCGAACCTCTTATAACCTATTAATATTTTTTTATTTTTAATATAAGAACTAGTTTGATTTTTAATTTGATTCTAAATATAGAATCGTAATTCATTTTATCTCTTATATTTATCTATTTTTTTTAAAGTAGTTCTTATAGTAATTATTCATGTAAAATGTTCCATTAAATGGCTGGTCTAGCTACTACACATAACTAATAAGTGTATTTTAGGGAAGACAACATCTATTTATTACAAACTTCTTTTATTTACTCAAATTAGTCAACTAGTTCTTATATTAAAGACTAAAGATGGTACAATTTAATCTGCTACAGATATTCCTGTGCATAAGCATTCTTATATTGACATTGAATGCAATCTTACTTGAAATACTATCAAATGCTAAATATGAGCACCTCTTTATAGACAGGACTTAGATATTGAGTTGCCACTTTGCAAAGGACTAGCTCTTCTCAAGACTCGGCTCATGTTTTCTTTAAGCACATGTATTCTTTTATTAGAGACAATTCTATTTGAAACCTAATTTACTCCCCTAGTCCTATTTATAAGACAGATATAGAAGATATTTTTTGGTTCTATATATAGGGCATTGAGAAAATTTTTTTGTATGGATATACAATTTTACCCTTCATTTATTATTATGTTGACTTTGTTTATATGAGGTATGATATATATTAAACAGAGATAAAGTTAAAATTTATTAAATTTTAAATGAGATTTAGTAAAGTTTAAAGTTTTAGTTTGTATAAATAGAATCAGAGGAGTAGATCTCTAAAATGAATTGAATGTTGTTTAATATTAATTTCTTTGGGAAACGATCCACTTGTGTGACAGAAGGCCCATTATTACGGTGATTGTTGTTGGTGGGTTTAGTGGGCCGCCATTATTTTTCATAAATATGGGCGGCCATTCAATTCATCCATGCTGTCACGATATACACACACAATCCCTCCAACCCCACTTATATTAATTGCATTCAATTACTAGGATGAATAATTTTAAAGAAGTACACACCATTTTCAAAATTCTGAAAAATAAATACTCCCCCGTCTCTAATATAAAACATATTTAACTAATTTGATTAAATTAAAAAAGTTAGGTAAGTTAGTTAATTATAAAAAATATAACATGTTTTTCTTAAAATACTATAATCATCTTTCTTACTATCTTCCTTTCTTCATTCTTCTACTTGATTATGGTTAAGAGAGTATCTATATAAATAATTTAGAAAAAATTTATAAATATAAGAAATAAGCCTTATATTTAGAATTAAAACCAACTCAATAATTAGATTCTATATTAACGACTAGATGAGTACCACCTTTGGTCCTTAATATAAGAGCTAGTTGATTAATTTGAGAAGATTAAGGAAAAAAGTTAAGTTAGTTATTTGTAACAAATATATGTTGTCTTTTCTAAAATATCCTTAATAATCAACTGTATTGGTTAGAACTATTATTGTTAGAAAGATTACGTTGGGAAAAAAATACATAATATGAGAGTCAAAATGGATTGGAGTGTTATATCTAGGACCAAAATAAAAGTCAATCCAGGTCTTATATTAAGGATCAGGGGTAGTATTATATTTGTACCTTAAGATGGTTTTTTTTTTCCTTGTCAGAAACATTCAAAGTCAAAATGGGCCGAATATTTTGTATGATATATTAATCTAGAATTTTTATTTTTTTGGTAAGATAATTTAGAAATTTTATTGATTATTAATTAATGGTTAAAGTTTTCCCCACAATATAATTGTTTAAAGCTTGAAAATACTTTTTATACCAAAAAAAAGAGAAGATACTTTTTATAGTGTGATGTTTCTTTCTTTTTTTGTAGGCACCAGTACCCCTATTAAAGATAATTTTATTCGAAGTATTATTAAACATTAAATGTAAATAGTTTTTCTGTTAAACCCAACCTGTTGGTTTCAACATGACATACCAAACTCAAAAATTATAAATGGGCCAACCCAGCAAAAACCCAGCCTAGTGAGTCTTTTTGAAAAACAAAAATCGGGTCGCAGCTAACCTAAAACTTAAAACATTCGACCTTCTGAAGTCGCCAGCGTGAATCGTCCAGGCGGCCTTGCTTCGTCTTGCGGCTTCACCCGGAGGGATACTCAAAGCCAGTTGTCTGCGAGTGTGAGAGACTGAGAGTGAAGCAGATTCACGCGTGATTTTTTCTTGTACTTCTTCATCCTCCGTCAGCCAAAGCAGGTGATTCCTTCTTTTCGCTTTGTAGTTCTGCTGCACTGGTTGTTCTTTTTCCTTCTTATTTGCTAATACAAGTACGAAACTGTGACGAATTAAGAATTTGTAAACGAGGAGAACAAAGGATTGATCAGGAGCTATGCAGTATGCTCTGCTTCAAACACCTATATAGGTTCAACGGGTTTTTCTTTCACTTGTCATCTTTATGTAGATTGGTCCCTTGGAGGATCATATAGGGGAGAAATACAACCCAATATGTGCGCTCTGTCTTTTTACTTCCAAGACTTTTTGGGCGTCTTTTGTATGAGTATCTTCAGTTTGGTTTGCTCGTGTGAGTGTTAAAGGGTTACTCCTACTAGATTTTTATCTGTCCTAATTATTATTAAAAATTCCTAGTGAGTTTTTCGTGGTAGGTTAATTAAGAAGCCTGTTTTAGGTCAACACACAAACTCTTGTTTCTTTTGAGGATTTTCAAGTGTGTGTGTCCAACTGTTCAAAAGGCTCAACATAAGCTAGAAGTGGTGAATGCAGATAGTCAAGAACTTGATCAAGTCCTGTGACTTGGTTTTGCACTTTTTATTACAGAAAACTTCAATCCAAAATTTGACTATTGAAAATAAAAGTATCCTTAATTATCAATATTCTGGTCATTGAAAAGACATATAATTATCACCAAGTGTTTTAGTGGTTCTGCTGTGATGTAAAAATATTTTGCATAGCAATCTGTAAAATCAGAGTCGGTGTTATGAAAAACAATGACTTGATTAGGAATCAGAGGAAGTTGCGTGGTAGTACTTGGAAGCTTGAACTAAAGTCAGTCTGTATTGGAATTAATGGCTCTGCAAACCTGAAGGAGGACAAACCACAAAGATTTCGAGCTCTATAGCTCACAAATTGGAACTGCTTTTTCATTGGAGCTGTCTAGGATAGGAGTTGAATAGGGGAAGCACTGGTGTTGGGAAAGAGATATAATTTGGTGCAGATATTAGTTGATAGTGGTAGCAATAACGTGATTAAGATCGAGTAACAACATCAGAGTAGAGGGTTGTTTGGTATGCCATGAAATGTTGTTGCTGAAGTAATTCTATTTATTTATTTGGCGGGTAAGAACCCATACAAGAATCCATTAAAATTGCTGAAATAGTTTTAATGTGAGTTGTGGATTTGGCTTTTCAATTCACACTTGTGTAATTTTGTAGGTTCTAAATCAACTTTTATTGTGGGTAGCACTTGAAAAGGTTGCAATATGCAGTCCAACGAGGCATCTTCTTCCATGGAAGTTGAGGCTATCCCATCTGAATCCAAAGCCTTGCCACCAAAGCCAAAGTTTGAGCCTTTGAAACCTCATGAGATGTCTGATGGCCGTGTTCAGTTCCGCAAGGTTTCTGTTCCACAACATCGTTATACTCCTCTCAAGAAAGCTTGGATGGATATTTATACCCCAGTGTATGAGCAGATGAAAATTGACATCCGTATGAATTTAAAGGCTCGAAAGGTAGAGCTGAAGACCAGACAAGATACACCCGACATTAGTAACCTGCAAAAATGCGCTGATTTTGTTCATGCTTTCATGCTGGGATTTGATGTCATAGATGCTGTTGCCCTGTTGCGGTTAGATGAGCTCTATGTTGAATCTTTCGAGATAAAGGATGTTAAAACACTTAGAGGGGACCACCTGTCTCGTGCTATAGGGAGATTATCTGGTAAAGGTGGCAAAACAAAGTTCGCAATTGAGAACGCAACAAAGACGAGGATTGTGATTGCTGATACCAAAATTCACATATTGGGATCTTTTGCTAACATTAAGATAGCTAGGGACTCTCTTTGTAGCCTAATCTTGGGGTCACCGGCGGGTAAGGTGTATTCAAAACTTAGAGCAGTTACTGCTAGACTGGCTGAAAGGTTTTGATCTTCTTTTAGTCAAGACATTATTGGAGCTTTTTTCTGTTCTTTTGTTATTTTATCATTGATATCAACCGTGGTGAGGCAGTGTTACTGGAAGGAAGCTGCTCATCAATATTTACCTCATTCAGTTTTGGATGTCTCGGTTTTAGCTATATGCCAAAGTATGAATTAAAGATATAGATTCGACGCCATTGCCGTTCGTTGTAATTGTAAGCCTTATGTCTCTTTATCCATTGGACTATAAGTATGTCAGTTGATGATAATAGTTGCTTTCGTGGAAGTGTTGTAATTGAACATTATATTAAGTCCTTTGGTGTGGGGGTTTCTTTTTTTGTTTTGTTTTTTTCTTAGCTGACCGATCTGATGAAAACATGGATTCATCATGGATGTCATATATTGAGATTTAGATTTGTTCTTTTTTATTTCTGTTGGAAAACAATAATTATGTTGATAGAGAAGTGCAAAAAGTTGTACTGACATGTTGAAGTTGTGATATCATCATCTCATTTTACTGGGATTTTATAAAACCATTAATGTGTGTCTTAAAAAAGTGGGTAATAAATAGTATGTCAACTTACATCTAATGTTTTAGGATTTATACATCGATTTCACGTCATATATAAAAATTTTGTTTTGGTAAGGAAACAAATTAATCTCTTCACCAATCTTCTACCTTGCATCTTCAAGGCATGTGCCAAAAGTGCCCGTATATGGTTAATCAATACCCTCGCTTCCAACACGACATTGCAGCCATACTTTCGCTTTTGAAGAAAAGGACAGGAAAAACAAAGGGCAATAGAGGGAGATCATATAGTCCAAGGGAAAAAAACAGGCTTGTAAGCCATATCATACGCGTATAACACAAGTATGGCGTATATGTAGTGGTGTAAATTCATTTATGACTTCACCGCATAGACAGTTCATATTTCCTTGTTTGAATTTTTGTTAGGAGAGGTACTCACAATAATTTGAATAGGATTGTCTTTAATAGGAGGATACCATGCCTACAAATAAATAAGTTTATGTTTCACTGTAAATTGAAGGATACCAAAAGTAAGGCTGCATGCAAGTACTTTTCCGGTTGTTAATATAGGATCTAATTGAGAGTTAACGTTAGTCCTATATATAAGACATATTTTACAAGTTTGTCATTTTTTCTTCCAAATTAACCCATTGATATTCTTCCAATAATAATCAAGTAGGAGAGGAAAGGAGAAAATTAAAAAAAAATATTTATGATATTTTAGAAAAAAACGTGTTATAAGAATTAATTTAACTAATATTTTTAATATGTTTTAAAATGTTTGCTAGGACCTTAACTTTCATAATATTTTTCGTCCATGAAAAATTATTCCAAGAATAAATACTTGTGCAAAACTGAACGATGATTTTTTTTAAGAGACTATAATAAAATTTATTACAATAATTTTGTCCCACCGCATTATTTTATAGAACTAATTGAACCCTGCCGTTGGTATTTTGTTATTTTTCCCTCCATTTCCTTTCTGCAAAGGCGCGAAGCATATGGCAGTCACTGTTCCGGCCTCTTCGCGGCTGAGAGTAGCAAATTCAACGGACAAGAAGGTTTCACTTCAACTGGACTGGGATCGACTGTTGCCTACCGAGACGAGCTTCCACCCACGCTCCCCTTCGCGTCTTCCTCCGATACTCTCTCTCACTTCCCCAAACCCTCTGGCTCGGACCTCCATCAGCTATTTCCGGTCGATGATAACCAAGAACAGTATAGTGATAGTGATCTTATGCGTTACAGTATAGGGATGGTCCTTATTTGCATGACGAAGATGAAAAAATTCGAGTCCTTATAAAGCACTATGAAGATGAGCTGACCGGCAGGAAAAGGGGGCGTCGTGACAAGGTCTGGTTCTTGTTTTGCCTTTAAGTTGTTAGAAATACGGTAAATGCACAATCAACCTCGTGCCCAGAGGATGAGAATATAGTTAGAAATGCAAGAGTTAGGGCATCTTGTTGATGCTTTATGCACAGTGCGTAGCGATCTTGTGCTCAACTGTCTTGCTTTTTATTTTTATTCTTTCGATATTTGGGTGGGTATTAATTAGCTCTGATACTCAATTCAATGCTTTTCATCATGCCTTTTCCTTGCTCATAAAAGTCGCAACGGAGGTAAGAAAAAGAATAGGAGTTATCGAAATTGACCGGTTTGTAGTTGGCTTGCCTCATGATTTGTCGTTTAAGTTTTAATTGTAGGCCGAGCAACAGTGCACTTGCCACATCTTCTGATAAAAATTTCCCTTATTATGGACTCCTTCCGTGCGTTTCGATATCTCCCTCTCTTTGGTGAATATTTGTTCACTCCATTTTCTCTTCCCAATGAGCAAATGGCTCACATGGGAAGCTTTTATATTTGATTGAGCTTAATGTTCTTGGTTTAATCCTTGTCATTTCTCTTTGGTTCTTAGCTGCTTATTTTATAGCATGAGGGTCTAATGAATGTTGTGACAGATCTAATTGAATTACTAAATCCTAATTTGGTCACATTAGTTAGCAATTGTCTGTGCCCTGGCTTGTAGAAATATATAATATCATGAAAATCCATCTTCGTTGTGTAAAAGAATCGCAAATCTTCTTCCGGTTCTAAATATAAGACCCTTTTTATAGTATAAATTATACTACAAAAAGAGTTTTATATTTAGGACCGGAGGAGTAATAATCTAATGTTAAATTTAGTGGCATTTTGAAACCATTCCATCTTTGATTAGAATTTAGACATTACATAGTTTGTAATATTATGTTGTGTCATTACATAATTAATTATCAAAGTCTGGTACTAATTTTACTGCTACATATATTTAATAGGGTAATTCCTAGTTTGCATCTTTTGCTAGCAATCCCTTTAAGGACATGAAAAAGTTGATTTGGTTTTAACGTATGAAACATCATCGATGAATTGAACTCAGTATTATTGTATTTTCGTTGTCGTTAATTTGTTTCATGTGTCTTTCCAGTCTGTTATCACTCGTAAGGTCTACCATCGATTTTAGCCTCTTGGCAGCTCTAAACTCTTGTGCAGTTTTAGGAGCTCCTTCTCCTCCCAGCCGCTCTTTAATTGAAAGTTCGAAGCGCACGGTTGATAAACTCTGAGCTTTGCCATTCACTAGTCTAACGGAGAATCAACAAGCTAGCTTCTCTGAGGCCGTGGACTTGTTGAAAACAGCTTTTCCAGATCATCCTGAGTTAGATCGTATGGGTAAGGAGAGCAGTTCCTCGTCTATAGTGTCAAAGACTGCGGTGATGCCATCAAACAACTCACGGATAATCTCTTAGCCATTGCTAACAAGAAGGAAGACTTTGAAGCTAGTGTGCAGAAAATACGTGCAGCGGAGCTTGAGCAGGACAAGATAGAATCAGAGCACCAAAGTAGGGATGCTTAAGCAAAGGAAGTGGAGAACACAACCTTGAGCAGAAGGTCCCAAATTGATCAATTGCAGGCCGAGCTAAAAAGTAAGGAAGCTGAGGGTGTGGCGTTGAGAAATGAGGTTGATGCTCTGCTCTTAAAAGGCAAGGAATTGAAGAATCAACATGAGGTTCTGGCTGCACGGCATAAGTCCTTAAAGCAATCCGTGGATTCTGAGGTGGCAAATGGGCATAGCTGGCCTAAGCAGTTGGTTCGGGCTCGTCAAATGCAAGTCTTCTTGACTGAGGAATGGGACTCCGTGTCCTAACTCGACCTACATTCTTTGCCTTTACCTTAGTGCTCTTGCTCTTTACTCGGAACTTTTGGGCGTCTTTTGTTTGAGTATCTTCAGTTTGGTTGTGTGTGTGAATGTTAAATGGACTGGAATTCCCACTGGATTTTATCTGTGTTAATTATAATTAATATTATCATCTCTAAATCTCTACTGAGTTTTCCCTTGGAAGGTCAATCAAAAAGCATGTTGAAGGTCAACAACAAAAAATCCTGCGTCTCATGAAGATTCGGGAGCGCGTCCAACTGTTCAAGAGGCTCAACTTAATCTACAACTGGTGAATGCAAATAGTCAAGAGCTCAATTAAGTCCTGTGACTTATTTTTGAACTTTTGATTAAAAAAGAAAACTTCAATCCAAAATTTGACTATTGAAATATCCTTAACTACCAATATTTTGGTCATTGGAAAAACATCTTTTGGTCATTCACGAGTGTGAGTGTGCATGAAAGGTTTTGATCTTCTTTTAGTCAATATATCATGGGAGCTTTTTCTCTCTCATATTGGTAATTTATCACTCATATCAACCGTGGTGGGGAATAGTTACTGGAAGGAAGCTCTTTCATCAACGTGATCCTCATTCAGTTTTGGATGTATTGGTTTCACGTATATGTGAAGTATGAATTAAAGAGAGATTCAACGCCATTGCCGTGAGCTTTGCTTGCAAGCGTTATCTCTTGTTTCTTCATTGGATAAGAAGTATGCCGGTTGATGATAATAGTGGCCTTCGGTCTTGAGAACGAATCTAAATATAAGTATTAAGTATTATAATTTATTATTGAAATACAAATTTATTTCGAAAGTTTTTACTTAGAAACGCTGAGGATCTAAAAGTTTTTTTAGTACAAATTTGTTCTGAAAATTTAAAACTAGTAATTTTATCCTTTAGACATTTGTTGGTCCTATTTATAGGGTATTAAAAGAATTTTTTTTATGAATGTATAATTTTACCCTTCATTTATTATTTTATTGACTTTGTTTACATGAAATATAATGTATATTAAATATGAATAAAATTATAAAGTTATTAAATTTTAAATAAGAGTTGATGAAATTTAATATTTTTCTTCATCAATGTAATACATGTTGAATTAAGTGACTTATAAATAGGATCAGAAGAGTAATAGTCAACATTAGTTTTTTTGCCAACTAATAATCAATAGTAATATTTTAACTGTGTTTTCTTTTTACCTGGAATATTTTAACTATGTAAGTTTTATAGGAAATCCAGCTTCCTTGTCAAACAGGCCGAGTTCAGAAGAGAGCAAGAGTCCTGACCCGTTCCGTATTCATCCGTGGCGCCTACTGGAAAAGGGCGAGATTTCTGGGCCCAGTTCAGGACAGCAAGCCACGCTGTGCTACCCGCGTCGATGCTCTTGCCCAAGCGAGTCAATCAATGCTCATCTGATTTCGTCTTTCTCCGTTTCCCTCCTTTTCCTTTCACCCGGAGGCGAGGCCAACACCAGCCACTGTGCAGTCCTCTTCCGTGACGGCTCAGAGGATTAATTGAATGCATGGAGCACGACGATGGCAACAAGGTTCCACTTCAGTTGGACTGGGATCGACTCTTGCCTTCGCGAGACGACGAGCCCCCACCTACGCTCATCATCTCTCAACCCCCAAAATTGGCTGACGCCGTTCTCGATCAGCAATCTCCAGTCGCTGATAACCTAGAACGGTATAGTGATCGTGATCTTATGGATTTACTCCGAAGGAAAAAACGCACCCTGGAGACCACTGGTCCGAAATTGCCTGACAAAGGTGAAAAACTTCGAGTCCTTATCAAACACTGTGAAGATGAGTTGGCTCACAGGAAGAGGAGACGTGTGGACGAGGTCTGGCTCTTGTCTTGCCTTGTAAGCGGCTGTTGTTAGAAATAGTGTAAATGTATCGTGTATTTCGTGCCCAGAGCATGGGAATAGAGTTAGAAATGCATGAGTTAGGGCGTCGTGTTTTATGCTTTATTTGTGTCGTGGAATTATGCCACGGTGATAATTTGGCTGCAGAGTCCATAGCGATATTGTGCTGAACTGAGGTCGGTGCTCAGCTGTTTTTTTGGATTTGTCTTTTAGTTGTAGGCTGAGCAACAGCGCACCTGCCGTATCTGTTGATAATAACTTCCCTAATCAACTTTCTTTTATGATATGGAACTCCTTCTATGCCTTTCAATTATTCCCCTCTCTGGTGAATATTTGTTCATCCCATTTTCTGTTCCTAATGAGCAAATAACTCGCTTGGGTAGCCTTTATATATGGCTGAGCTTAATGTCCTTGGTTTTGATCCTTACCATTTCGCTTTCTTTGATTCTTGGGTTGTGGATTATCAACCTGATGTCCATGAAATTTTTACAGCTTTGTTGTCTATTGTCTACCCAGAAGCTTTAATGAATGCTGTGACAGATCTTATTCGATAATTAAATCCTAATTTGGTCTCATTAGTTAGTAATTATTCTGTGTAAATGTTGTGCTCATGCTTGAAGAGATATATAATATCATGAAAACCCTCCTTCCTCATGTAAAGGAATGGTAAGCAATACTTAGAGATGTGCCAGCCGTTTATCTCATATTTTTTTTCAAGGGATGAGCTTTAATAATGAGTTATAAATTGATAAATAGGGCTTACAGGCCTAAGCTCTTATGGGCTTGGCCCGCTGGGGCTTAGCCCTGAAGGGTCTGGGTCAGCATGTGTGTGTGTGTTTTAAAAATATTAAATAAATTTATTTTTTTAAAATATCAGAAAAATTTATGGTCTAAGTTTGTAGCGTAATTTTATGATGTAAGTTTGATGTTCCTTAAGATGTAAAGTTTATTATTTTTTAATGTAATGATGTTTTCTTGAATTTTTTATAGGTAACAATAATTTAAATTTGAATGATCAAATTTTAGAAAATATGTATTGAGTTTTGTTTTTATTTATTCTTTAAAGAATTGCATTTTGAACTTTAGATGTTATAGTTTATATGTTACATTTGCATTTACTTATTTTGATTTTGAAAAAATAAAAAATTTAAATACAGGCTTACGGCATGACTCCAAGCCCTGATAATAAGGGACTTGTAAATGATGTTTTGTATGATAAACAAGGATTATGGGTTATGTGTAAATGTACTCCAGAAATGCACAAACTTTTATATAGGAGATGAATGTTCAGGAATTCTCTTTTCTCCCTCTCGAGAAATTTGGTTGTAGTCTATCTTGTGTTGTTCTATATTACTCATTGTTTAAAATATTTACGGATTTCTAGGTAGATTTCTTTCCAAAAGGGGGAAGAAAGAATATTAACATGGCATTTTCTTTGTCCCTTAGTCAGGATTTATTCTCTCTTTAACGACTTGCATGTTGTTTCCTTTGCCCTTTGTGCATAGAAAGTTGATGAGAATGAGAAGCCCAGACCAGCAACGAGCTCAAGTATTGTTGGTGAGGTTCTAGATTTGATTGCTTAGAATCATCTATTGATTCCTGGTTAGTTATAGGTATTGGCTTATTCAGTCATAATTTAAAGTTTACCTGTTTTAACTAAACAGAAAGCACAAAAGTTGAGGGGCCAAAAGTCGAGCTTGATTCTGATAAGGAGCCTGATGATTTGATGTCTTCTGGAAAGTGGCTAAAAGGTATCAATGTTGATCCATAGGTGTCTTTTAAGTGTCAACTTTTGGCTCTTATTTTCTTGATAGAAGAGGGAAGAAAATAACTATCAGGTTATGACTATAAACGTTGGACATGTAAAGCTGGCTTTTGCACAAGATCAGATTATCTGTTTTTGGAATTCCCATCTGAAGCAACTGAATGTGTTTTTTAGGGAGGTCTATTGACTTTAGGCATGAAGATGAATCATCAAAAGCACATCCGCCACCCTCATTTGCACCTTGTTTAAATAATAAAATGAAAGATGTAAGGCTGTTTACATCTTTCAGAATTATTTTTTTTAAAAATTATTTCTTTTTAACTTCCTTTTTAATCTAACTTTAATTTGTTAAGCAGACTGATTGTCAGAAAACCAATGCATTTAGTAAAGAGTTATCACATTTCAAGCATTGTCTCAGTCACAAAATGAGACATAATGAAGACTTTTCACAGAAGAAAAGAAAGAGAGATCAATCATCTTCAAGACAGGTGCCATTCCAATGCCCTAGCAACATTTCCAGATCTAAAACTGCTAGTGAAGATAAAAGTCAGAGAGCAACTTCCACATTCTCTCTGCAGAGAATTGGGGAAAAGCTATCTGGTTGCTTTCCAAAAATGTAAGTTAAATGACTTGCTTTTGGTTTTTTTTTAACCTTTGAGAATGTTAATATTACTGTGATTTTGGCATTAATTTATGCACCTAATTAGTCATTCCAGCATTTTCTGCTCACTTTATAATTATATGCATTTTTACTTGTTAAAACTAATCTGCAACATTTCCTTTTAGTTGGTGATTAGAATTTACCAGTTAATTTTTAGGGGTATTTTTTAATATATAACATCTTTTAGTTTTTTCCCCCTTTTTAGGTGGGGGGCAGAGTTATAGAGAAATTTCAGGTGCCTTGTGCGAGGTAGCCCATCCGCCTCCTATAAAATCCACTCACATGTGCACAATGAAATCTGAACCTAGGATTGTTTTAAGATACCCAATGCTTAACCATTTATGTATGTTCCCATGAGCCCTGGGTTTGCATATTCATTCTTGACAATTTTGGTTTAACATAATGCTGTGCTGCTAATTTAGTCGTGGTTGTTTAAAATTGGTCTTAGTTGATCAGAGAAAGGATTATGAATGTTGATGTTATTTTTCCCACTTTGTTATTTATGCTATAATAGACTCAATATGTGAATAAGAAAGAAGGTTGTATGTTTTAGAGTGCTGTCCATTGTCATTGAACTCGTGCTAGACTGGACTGGTTGGTTCAATTGGCAGCCTGGTGACCCCAAGTCTTTATTAGATGCTGTCTAAAACCGTGTCTAACCTGTACACGGTTATTTTTCAACCTGAATTACCCAGCTAAATAAACCAGCTAATGTGTGGTTGTCACACAAGAAGTGAATGTTAATATTTTCATATGCTTTTGCTATCATGGTCCCCCCCATGCTGCTGTAACTATATTATCATTATCATCATTGTCAAGAGAAAGTAATTGCCAAAATGTCCCTCCTCCTGCACCCTCTTATACTTGAGTTTGGATGACAAATATATGGTTTGTGATTTTTCGGTTTTGCTGGATTTTCTGAATTTTTTTTCCTTGTCCCAATTTGGTAGCAAGGATGCTTTTAAGGCTATTCGGTCAGATGGCCCAAGTTCTAGGAAGGTATTCATCTAAAATGTTCTTTATTCTTTGTGATGTAAGCCACAATTTCATTTCTTGTCTGTTGATGATCTGTTGTGCTTATAGCATCACTGATTAATTACAAATGATAGCTGATATAGAGCACGATTTAAACAGGATCCACTCATTGTTCTTGATGAAGAGGATGGACACTATAATTTGGAGGAAATAGATGAAGACGACAAATTTGCTGAATGGTTAGGGAGTTTCATTGCCGTTGCGTTTAGTCTAATATACATATAGTTGAATGTGCCTATGCAATAGTTACTCACTTAACCTTCGCCTTTTTATCAGCCTGAAAGAAGCTAGGATTTATTATCCATCAAGGTACAATAGAGGAGTAATGTTTGAAAATTATGTTTTACACTCAATTCTCTAATCAAGTATGTGTTTACCTGACCTTGCTACCATACTTTGTGATGTCACAGTGATGATCCGGAATCTGTTGAAATTAGTTACACAGATATGGATTGTCTTGCCCCCGGAGGTTATTTAACATCAACTATTATGAACTTTTACATACGGTAAGTAATCTAGTCTTTCTTCACCTTTCTCTGCGTCAAGGACCATTTCAAATCTAGGGCATAAAACTTTAAATGACGGCCTGTGAATTTGTTTATAATATTATTGTAATCTGTAGCATGCTTCCTGGCGTTTAAACCTCTTAAGCTTAAAGCGCTGATAAAGTGTCAACTCACTGAGCCTCCCGCCAAAACCTGATTTTAAGAAAAACGGGTAATAAGGTTTGTACTGTTGATTAATTGGTCATTGAGGCTTTGATACTGCGTCAAAAATTAATTTAATTCAGTTTAAGTAAAGATTTATTAATGGTTTGATCATAATCTATCGCTTTAAACATTCATCTTTTTTGGTTATAAAGTACCATAGATTATTTTGACCCCTTATTTCACTTGTTATGTGAATCATTCATGCGCTGTGCTTAATAAGAATGACCAAAGCAAGAATGAGATGTTTATGTGATGAAAGAGTTGAAGCATAAAACAAAAGTTGAGTATTTCAAGGAGGATTTTCTTAATGTTTCCACCTTCTTTTTGGCTAAAAAATATTGTCAGGGTAATCCAGCTTACATATTTCATTCTCTACCTTTTTTTTTTCCCCCTAGCAACTAAGAGAAACGTTAATATTTGACATGTTTTTAGCTTTTCTTTATTTAATACCTATAAGTTGGAGTGAAATCTATCTATTACTTTCGATTTTTCACTCCCCTATCCAATTTCCTTCACTCCTATCAAACACACCTTTATCATGGATTAAGCTTATTTGTTCTTCCTAAAAATATCAAAATTAGTGTAACTGATATTGAAGCGCTATTTTATTTTTGTTTATTCTGATTTAATTAATTGCTTCTTTTTTTTCCCCAAGAAGGGTTTGAAATTTGGAATGATGAACTATTTCCTGGTTGAATGGCGAGCAATGGAGTTGTATAATCCTCCACTTGCATGTCTAATTAGTTTTATACCAATGACTTGTGGTCTTTTTTGTTCCTACAACTGATTAGCTGTTAGCTGTTACTTCGCTTGTTGATTATTATGCAAGTCACCTCTTGTTTTGTTCTTTCAGGTTATTTCATGGTGGAAACCTGAATCTTACTGTTGCTTAGAAATTGTCCGTTTAATTTAACATGCTTGTAATTTTTTTTTTTTTTTAAAAGCTTTGTACTTATTACTTGATCTGAGTTGGCTAGATACCTACAGCAGCAAGCATCTCTGACGGACAGATCAGTGACTGATTATCTTTTTCTTAATACATATTTCTACAAGAAGCTTAAGGATGCTGGTTCCTACAAGGTGGTGTTTTTCTCCCTGCATGCATAACTGTATTTATCCATGCAGACAGATTATTTCATTCTTCACACTCTTGGAATGTGCTTATCCATTTCAAGAATTTCAAACCCGATTCTGTTTAGTCTGATTACTGTTTGATGATGAATCTTTGGCGCTATTGATTATTTCTTTGAATGCTTCCCTTTTAAACATGCCTTTATTAATTTATTTAGTATGTAATGAAATAGACAACGGTGCTTTTAAACATGTTGGGACATACATTGAAATCAATTACTCTAGAGATTAGTAATAAAGATATTTGTCACTGTAGCTCACTACTCCCCTTTCACTTGTTGCCTTTCTCTTTGTTCTTTTCTCTCAATATTTACTAACTCAAATTCCACTGTAATTATCTAGCACTGACTCAAATTCCACTGCTATTATGTAGCAAAGTGATAGAGAGACATTCTATGTGAAGTTCAGAAGGTGGTGGAAGGGTGTGAATATTTTTCAGAAGGCATATGTTCTAATTCCCATACATGAGGAGTAAGTTTTTCCATTATTCTGGTAGTTTGACTTTTAAGTGATTATTCTCTAAGGAGTATTTACCCAATATTTGCAAAGCAACTTTTTAGCATACTTCTGCAATGGTTATATAGACCATTGGCATGACAACTTCTAAAATGTCACATCTCTAAACATATTCCTTTGAGTGGTAATAAGCAACCGATCAACTATTAGTGGTCATCTGAAGTTGCTACTGATAAATAAACACAATAAAACAAGTTATTCATATTGAGCATCTGCGCCAATAATCCTGTTATGTGAATGCCATTTATCTGAGAATGTACTGCACATTATTTTGTATTTCTTTTATAAGATCCCGTTTCAGTTAATCTTTGTCCCAAACATCTCGCTTTTTGTTTTAATACAATTTAGAAACAAACTGAGAATGAAGAATTAAGACAAGAATGAAGGGAAATTAACCATTTGATGGACTCAGTGCTGAAATCAGATTTATCCTTGAACGCACTCCACATGTTTCTTTGTGGTGTTTAGTTTATGATATTGCTGGGTTGAACTTGTGGCTGCTGAAAGGGATTGGCATTACCTGTTCTGAACTTTTTTTTTCTTTTCCTTTTTTTTAAATACTTCTCTTGTCTCCTAACTTCCTTTTCTATTAGAGAACATCTTTTTCTACTGTGTTTAATTTTTTTGAAAATTTTTTATAGAAAAACATATTATTGCTTGCACAGATGACATGAAGAGTAAATTAAAAGGTTGGTATATAAAATAATAAAATTTTGTGCTATTTTCTGTTTCTGCAGGTCTTGATGGCATAATCTGAAATTGTAGTTTTATTCTGTTGAGCAATTTTGTTGCATGTATATGATCATTGTTGAGACATCCGCCCTCAATTCCTATCTCTGTCTGGGTTTATGACTTATCTATGATGTTTTATATATTCAGTCTTCATTGGAGCTTGGCCATTATATGCATACCAGACATGGAGGATGAATCGGGCCCAATCATATTGCATTTGGATTCTCTGGGTCTTCACTCAAGTAGATCAGTTTTTGATAATGTAAGAAGGTGAGAGAGATGAAGCACTTCTATCCAATTAAAAATGTGATCTATCAAGCTCTTCTATGCTCTGTTCATTAGCTTTGAGTATATCTTTTGCTTTATAGTGATATTGTTATGATATCTTAGTGTTGTTATTTGGACATGGACAAGATTTATGCCTGTATTTGTGAGAAGTAAATATGATTATGTGGCTATCACAAAAAAAAAAGAAGGGGTAAATATGATTATGTCTTTGCATTTTGGAAACATCTTATGCCTAGAGGTACCGGGAATCATTTTAATAAATTTACACCAACAAATTAAGTGAGACAAGTTAATATATCGGGTTAATCTCAAATGTTTAAGGCTTAAGCTGGCTGATTCAATGGCATAGGTCAAATCACTTATTAGATTTTTCTGTGATCATTCCTCTGGCCTGGCTATATATCATTTTACTTTTTGTCGAAGCAGCACAGTCTAGTCTGAGTAACTTCCGAACTGGAACTGTTTTTTTGGGTACTTAATCGTCTTATATATCTTATAGAAAACCCTGCATACTTTGAGGTGAGTTTTTTTACCTCATCATCAAAGTCTGCTTGCTGTGCAAATCATATAATTGATCCCACTTAGTGGGATGAGGCTTCCCTTTTTCACCCCCAGGGGGGGTTTGGAAAGGCTTCTTGTTGTTTCAAAGTCCTATGACAATTTTCTGGGTGTGCAACTTGGTAACATGACATGCGTTCTGTAAAGTTTGGCTAACTTCCAATTATTCAGTCTCTGTTCCATATCTCTTATTATAATTTTCTGATTGCCGTGTTTGGCACTTGTCTTTAATGTGGATGTCAAGCTTTAAGATAATGTGAAATTATGAATTGTAGGTATTTGATAGAAGAATGGAGATATTTGGTCCAAGAATCTGTGTGTTCAGATATTCCTATTGAAGATGGAATATGGAAGAATCTTGATTGTAAAATCAAAGAAAGAATCATCACGGTGAGCACCCCCCCCCCAAAAAAAAAAAGAAAGAAAAAAAGTTGAAATACAAATTTATCCTAGAAGTTTTCACTCAACATTAGATAGTCGAAAGTTTTTTAGGTGCCAATTTGTCTTGGAAGTTTAAAATTATAGCAATATTACCCTTTGTCGTTGAAAATATTAATAGTTAATGTCATGATTTTAACAGTAAGAGGCAATATTGCTATGATTTTAACTTTTGGGACAAATTTTTTTTTTTTTTTAAAGAACACTTTCGGGCAAATTTATATCTTAACCCAAGAAAGAATCATTTCAGCAAGTTTGTTGGTGCTCTCTCTTCATGCTATTTATGATGGCAATGTGAAGGTGATTTATGGATCTTAAATCTTCGGACAAAAGAGGAGAATGGATTGTGGGGAGGGTGGGGAGAAAGAAATCTGACCCCTATTATGCAACAATGCATGCTTTGTTGCAAATATATTAGCTGTGCTTGGATAAATAGATTGTAAATAATAAAATAATAGAATTCTTGAGACTGGGAGCGGTCAGATTTGGAGGGATCACACTCAAGCAACCATAAAGCTCTAATACAAGTTCAACTAAAAGCCCAACTAACCTTAGAATTGCAAAATAACCCCTTATCGTCTAAGCTCTAAAGTTTGACACTTGACTGAGGATGCAGCTTATTGACTTATTGTAGCTCTTTAACTTGCATGCTGGAAACTAAAGAAGCAAGACTAATGTACGGGTGTTTGGACATTATTTCAATGTTGCCTTCATAACAAATATATAGCCGCGTTTTGCACCAGGTCCCTCAACAGAAGAATGACTGTGATTGTGGTCTTTTTGTGCTGTACTTCATCAAGCGTTTCATTGAAGAGGCTCCCAAAAGATTGAGGAAGAAAGATATGCCCATGGTAATTGGCAATAGATATTATAATATAATATAATACTCATCCGGTCCTAAATATAAGACTCTTATATACATTAGTATGAAGATCTTATACTTAGGACTGGAGGAATATAATATTCTGTGTATATTCATTTTCAATTAATGAATTTTATTGGTTGATTCATTTCAATGTACAGTTTGGGAGGCAGTGGTTCCAGCCTGAAGAGGCATCTGATTTAAGAGTGAGAATACGTGCTTTGCTTAAAATCGAATTTCGCAAGGCACATAAGCAAAAAGCTATCTCTCCGGACTCTGTCGTGACTATCCATGATTCATGACCTGGTAGTGTTGGTTGACGGATTTGTGCATAGTTCACGTTGCAGATGCAGCTTTATTTTCAGCCTCCTGGTGTCCATACCGCACAATAACCTATTAGCGGCATTCCATACAAAAAATGGTAATGTTTGGTATGCCCAAGGATACTAACTTCAAGTCCTCGGGGTTGAGATTACCCCAAATCTCTGATTGAAATGTATAGAGGAAAGAGAGTTGACAACTAAAAAAGGCAGGCTTGTAGAGGGGAGACATCAATTATTTTGTACATGTAACAGGCATTGAATAGGTTCAAACGCTTTACAATGCTGACCTAGATATGGCCTTCATATAATGAAATTGAGCCGGTGGATATTCTTGCTGCGAGGAGTATCACTCATTTGCCTTGCACAGCCAATTTGGTCTTCGAACAAGAGTAGTACTTCATCAATTTTCCTCCTAGCTAGTTTAAGCGGACACGAACCATGTAGTTGCTTTTTCTCTTTTTGGATGTAACTCATTATGGGCAGTCTTTTGGGCCAGGATCTCCAAAAATCAAACCTGTGTTATTCTCCTTAGGACTGCTTACCATCTTAACTGATAATTTGTTAGTAAATTATATAGTCGTCTTTATTAGTATTTAGTAGTAACAGGTAAATGTGTGTAAAAATATTCTCTATCTTTTTCAAAAAAATTTGGATGAAAAAATACGTATCAATTTTCCTCATAGCTGGTTTAAGCGGACGCAAATCATATAATTGCTTTTTTCTTTTTGGAAACAACTCATTATGGGCGTGAAACTAGTGTTTCAGGCCAGAATCCCCAAGAATTAAACTTATGTTATTCTCCTTATACTTGTCATCTTAATTGATAACTTGTTAATAAATTATATAATTGTCTTTATTAGTATTAAAACGTAAATGTGTAAAAATATTCTTTATCTTTTTCAAAAAAGCACTAGGTATCATAAATAAATTTTGGGTGAAAAAATACGTCTAAATTTTTTCAAACAGGTGAAAATATCATATCCCTTCATCGTACCAAACGTTTGTTGTTTACTTTCCTGCGGGTCTCCCTTTCTCAGGTGTCAATTGAGCTTGAGATACTCTCCCCTTTGTCAATCCCTTCCACTTCCCAGTCCGGTCTCTCTTTCCCCTCCAAATTCTGTTTTCCATCTTCTTATTCCCCCCCCCCCCCAAAAAAAACTGTGTAAGTATTACTTTTAAAAAATATTTGAATAAAATAAAAAAATTATGAATAATTTTTTAAATAAAAGAATTAAGTTTTTTTTTAAATATATCCACTATTAATTTATACAATTTTGATTAAAGGGTTTTAGGTCTCTTATTTGAAAAACTGAAAATTATTTAAAATGTATAAATAAAAGACTCGCTTGGTAATCTCTTATTCAAAAAATTTATTCATAAAGTTTATTGTTTATTCAGATGTTTTTTCAAATAAATACTCCTACAACAAGTTTGACAAAAAAAAATAGAAAATGAGAGAACAGAAGAGAGTGATGGAAAGGAGAGGGGGGTTGATAAAAATGACAGAGCATGAGAAGAGATGACACATGAATAAAGCAAGACTCACAAAAATAATAGTAATGAATGTTTAGTGCAACTGATAAATGGAGTAATTTCTCCCCCATTTCACAAAGTATTTTGCAATTATGATTTGTTTATAATGCCCAATGTTCTTTTTGAAAAAGATAAACATATTTTCGCACCTTTATCCTCATTAATAATACGTATTAAAAATTAAAAAATTAAAAAATTGTATGCAAATCATAACGTTAGCCGCGCCTTTGCAGAAAGGCTTCTACGCAATAATGTAAACAAAGCTTTTAATATATGTTTTTCCTCAAAATAAAAAATGTAAGAAAAGATGACATGGATATGGAAATTTTACACGTGGCATCAAGTCTCACATGTATGAAGGATGTAAGCATCATTTATGTCGAGCGGCATTAAGGAGCGTTTTACGACCATTCGTAGAGAGTAGGGAATCAGTATTTACACGTCCCGAGTTGGGTGTCAGATATGCACAATCATATTCGGCGTTTCTTCTTCTCGGGTGTTTCATGTACTTGCGCCTTCCTTCCGAAGGTCTTGAGCTGATAATTTTCGAAGGCAGCAGAAACAGCTCCTACCTATAACAAGGTTTTAAAAGTCAACATACCGATTTATTTAAATTGTACATTAAAAAGGAAATTCTATTTCCAAAGGAGTCGCTAACCAGTTCAGGCCTCTTACTATAAACCCTCACTATCATATCTTCGTAAAATGCTGGCAACAAGTGACTGATACGGTCTTCCTGGATGGGAAATTTTTCTTGATTCTCACCGTAGTCCTGCTAAAATTAACGTCCCGTTCAGCTCTCCGCCACGCAAGTGTATTATTTATAAATCTTAGCAAGGCTTAGACTTGGCAAGAAGCGTGATTTGATAATGACTGTTTATTAATCACCTCAATTAGGAAACAAAAACAGAACAAAAGGAGGGAAAAGGTAAGCACGCAGTACCTTAAAGAACTTTATTCTGGATCCGCAAATATGCATGAACAGAGAGAGAGAGTATTTCTCATGCTATGTCAAAGCAAGCAAGTGTACAGAAAAGCAGTCGACTGAAGCTCACTCTATTAAAGAAAGGTTAATCAAAAAGAATTATTGTTTTTGCCAAGTACCTCTCAAGAGGGTTTTCTTTTCCACGCGTCAAATCAATTTTAACATTGCATACAGCGATATCATCTTCTTTCAGAGTGATGCCATTTGTTACCTGTTTGGAAAATGTTGGGATTAGATACCGTCTGTATAAGCCCCTCACACGGAAAACCACATGTTTGAAATGATTTAAAATCAACACGTATTGGTAATATGGAGAGGCGTGAACCTGCGAACAAATAATATCTTGAGGTCTGATGCCTCTGAAGTGTTCCAGTCTGTCCTTTGGAACAGAAAATTCATTGCAGAACTGCAAAATTGGGAAAAGATTGTGGTTTAACCACCTTGCATGTGTAACTTCTGCAAACATCAATATCTATCCACCAATTAAAAAGAACTTAGTGAAAGAGGAAGACGTCGAGGACCTCTTCCTTCCCCAGAAAAGCGATAGTTAGAAAACCTGGTATATATCCCTTCTGCGAATGCGAAGAATGAGGTCTCGAGCTTCCTTGAGCTCTTTTGCGGAAGAAGTTTCAATTGTTTTAAGGATCGAGTCATCTAGCTGAAATTAAACAGTGGATTTGGTTCCGTAAAATGAACTTAGAAGCTCTGAGAACAAAAGTTTGGGGAAAATTACCTTCCAAAACTCAGATGGTTCATGAATTGAGGACGTCAAACTAAGGTACGGATTAGCTTTTACCAGTGCATCTACCACCATTAATTCTATCGCCTAATAACGGAGACAGCCACAAATCAGGTGATTTTCTTTGGATACAATCAGTTTACAATTCAGTAAATTTGGAGAAACAAATCACCTTCACTTTCGCATGTGTGTAGACTGTCCGATGCAAGTCCGCACGGGCCGCAAATAGCTTGAAAATTGTCAGATCTGACCAAAAAGTCAATAAGAGGTAAGTTTTGCAACTTTTCACAGCTTTCGCTGTTATAATGATATCAAATCAAAATATTTTCACAATGCACTAACAATCTTTAGCACGATAACATATTTCGTCACCCACAACTTGCATCGTCTCCATCAACCTGCAAGTTCAATATTTAATCAAGCTTCGGTTCTCCACCCCACATTGATAACTCATGAAATGAAAACGACATCTGCACATTTTTTGAGAATAAACCGATACATGTAAGCCGGAAAATAAGTTTTTGTGTTGGCAAACGGAAAGTTCACACAATATTGCCCCCAAAAATAGAAAGAGCATTCAAATTAACAAAAAGGCCCATTACAGAACAAGAATGGACACCTGTCAGGCTGAAAGCTGCATCCTAGGCCGCAAGCACGAGTGTCACGAACAATGTAGTCAAACCTGTACATGCATAAATTATATATGATTTCCATCAAGAGCATGAGTGTTAACGATCAAGCAAATCCAGAAAAGCACCACTTACTTGTCAACATCGATTCCATTGCGACCGTTTGCAACAATATCATACAAGAATTGTTTTTCCTTGGCCCAATATATATAAAACAAATTCGTAAAAATGAAACCACGCAAAAAAAACTTGAGGAATTTGGTGCGAAAAAAGAAGAAGAAGATAACAACTCCCAACTCCCGCCACCTCCCCTGACGGGAAAAAAAAAAAAATCGAGGTAACCTACTCTTTGCGGAGGATGATCGTGACTAGCTGTAATCATTTCCTGTCAAAACTCAAAAGAATACAAAAATATTAAAGCGCCATATACAGGTATTGAATTTTATCCGTCCATGTATGAACCAGAGAAAAAAGCAAAACATTCAGGAGTTAAATAATGTCGATAGGCAACACAAGTAGAGGGAAAAATAAAAAAGTTCTGCAGTGGTATAAGATTGTGATCACTCCATCAAGGTGCATCGTAATCACGTTCCATTTCGCACACATTCTGAAATTTGTATCAATTTCTCACACATAAGGAATTTCTATCTTGAAAAACATACGCGAAAGCGAGAATGAGAAAAAAATTTGAACGTAAGCATATGGGTGGGCAGCCTACCCGTCACTGGGGAGCCACAGTCAAAAAGTGTGCCCCATAATATTCAAGAAACTTCCACCATATTAAAATTGAATAATTGATAATTTGTACTAGTCCATTGTAGTGCATAGAGCCCAGGGAAAGCATTGTGTGTCTAGCAAAAAATTCTATAATCTAACCTTTGCCTTCTTGAGGATTTCAGGATCCATATCAACATTGTGTTCGTCAACTATGTAATCAATCATCTTCACAGACATTTCTCATGAGACCTGAAAAAATTATAACATTATGATGAATCCTCTGATACGAAATGATTGCAAGTTAAAAAAATAAACTTAGCGCCACAAACATAATAACAACAAAATGTGGCAGAAGTATTGAGCATAATGTTTTGTCTGCTCAATCAAAGCCCACAGAAATAATATACTACTCTGGAAGAATCAAGACGTATGTATTCATGTTGAAATAATGTGAACATATACTCCAATGTCAGAGCTCCAAATCAAGGCGACAGACAGATTTATGCTTTCAGATTACATGATGTCAGTAGTGGCAGAGCTACGAAGTAGGATGGATGCAATTATTTTCTAAATTCTTTTGATACCTCATCTTATAAACATAGACTCCTCGATAGTATACTGCTTTGTGAAATACTTTCATTTAAATGTTTGAATCAAGCTAAATAAAATTAAGTCATGAATAATATTCTGTCATCTTGCTGAATTTAGCAGGAACTTTGAGCCCAAATGAGTTGTGTACTAAAAATTGCTCTTCGTTGATTCGCATTGATATCAATACATCAATGATTTCCTTACCCAAATGCTCACGAGATATGTCTATCCCATATTCACGTAACGCCCAACAGAGGTACTCTTAAAAAAATACATCACAGAGACGAGCATCATAATAATTCAATGAATAACCCTAAAGAACATTTTAAAGGGGAAAAAATCATCTAAAGAAGTAATTGCAATTTACTACAGTTAATTTACTTGCTCACAATTTTATATGTGCGCCTGTAACTGTATACCTCTTTGATATCACAGGTCTATGTTTAATTCTAATTTTGATATCCCCCAATTAGGAGATCCAAATCTTTTTTTAGCACTTTGTACATTCCATGGGAAAAGAATTAGACAATATAGTGTAAAACGATTATTAAATGAAGAAAAGGATAGATGCGATAAAATTATTTCCTAAGGGGAAATCATAAAACTTCAATTTGCCAAAAACTGTTAGTTACCATGGGGAGCCACTTAGCAGCTGGGGAAGGAACTGGCTCTCAAACGTGTGGCTGAATGGCCCATGGCCAATATCATGCAGTAGTCCTAGAAACGAAAGACCACTAGCTATGAAACAGTTGTTTACGATGAGTCAAGATAAAATAATTCTAATAGAGATATCAGTACCAGCAAGTTTTACTGTCCATACATCAGAACGCTCAATACCAAGCTCTAGGCCCTAAAAGTATGGGTATATTTGTAAGCAGGATAATCTCATAACCAGTATCTGAAAAGTACAGTTAAGATACAGTATTACTTGGTATCTTTTAATGATATCAACAGCTTTGCCGGCCAGCCAATAAACGCCCAGTGAATGCTCAAAACGAGAGTGCACAGCCCCAGGGTAAACCATGTGAGTTAAACCTGGAACACGTAAAATCTTAAGTTAGTAATAACCGATAAAATTAGATCCATTGAAATGGATCTCTTATTGTTCAACATTTTTGAAAATTTTTGCACCATTCAACACAGCTTTAACAAGCCTAATTGTTTTCTTGTAATTAACAGAGGAGTTCACATTCTTAGCAAATAGGTGTGGCCATTTGATACATTTCCTTTTGTAGAGAACACTTACTTGGATGGCAATTATTCACCGAGGGAGTTATACAAACACATGCTGCCGGCACTTATCGCCATTCAAGCAGCCAAAAAAATAAATTTCATCGCATATGATAAGAGTGAAAGGCTTCGGGAAGATATATCAAATGTACGCTAGGAGTGTTACTACTCTATTATTAGCATTATAAATTCTACCGGCAGGAGTCCATCTCCAGAGAGGCCAATTGGAGGTTGACACGATAGAAATACTCCTATAGAAGTATATGCAGCCAATAATAATTTAACAATACGTAGACTCACCAAGTTGCTTCAAATCACGGAGTCTGCATTACAAAAGATTTGAACCAAATAATAAAGTTAGATAAGTGTACGAAATGTAAATACAACTATTTGACTAACGTCGAAGACACACTTGCCTCTGAAATTGTTCCGTGTCAACAAACTTCAAGAAGATCTGTGGCAGGCGAGGTTAGTAAAAGTTGACAACTACTTTCTAATATATCCACCAAATGCAATGAAAAAAGCAGCGGAAAAAACTTAATCCCCTTTTTGAATTAAAAGAAAGAGTAAACTTCTTTTGATTTTTGAAAACAAATCATCTGCCTGTAAAATATAGTTAAAATCTTCATTACGTTACCGAAAAAATAATCACTATACTTCGTCCAAATAATTATGTAGCCTAGTATATTCAAGTTGTCCGTATGAGACTCTAATGTTTATATTTACTTTTCTATCTTCTTTTCTGCCTTCAGGCACACGATATCAATAAAATGACGTGAACGGCTCAAATCCTTTATTCTTTTCTTATGAACCGATATTAGTTTAGTTCATAAACACCTCAGATAGGAATTCCAGATTTCCAACTCAGACAGGGCCGATTTGAATCTATTTCTCCGATTCCATTTCCACAGGGACAAGAATACATAATTCTAAGTCTCAGACATGATCATCAGGAGAGGTTAAAAAAAAGTCTCACATAACAATTCAATATTTAAAAAAATCTAAGCTTAAACACAATTTAGAAAAGGAAAGGAGAAAAGAAAAGACGAAAGAAACGTGTTATATTGGAGGAATACGTGGAGAAAATTTCGTGAAAGCGAGACATCGAAGAGTGTTTACCGGCTCAAGGAAGATGTTGCCGTGAACATTATCACGAACGTGCTTTAGCATTTTCCTTTCCAGACAAATTTCCTCCATCGTACGAGCAGGAGTAGCCATTCTTTGCTCAGTGATCATCAAGTCCAGGAGAAGAAGGAGAAAGACAAACAGAGACAGAGCTCGGAAGCTGAAATAACCTAATGAAATTTACTCTCTCAAAGGCTTGCTCCAGAGGAATGGAGAGAAAATTTGAGAGACTGTCACAGCACAAAAGGAAAAATGAGAACGGGAAGGCAATTTATACATGAGAAGCGTTTGAAGAGGTGGTGGTAATAAACATGAAAGGATACCGCCAAAACAAAAATTCATCCATCTGCTGAGAATTGGGGGCGTGTAATCACGATCCAATAATAAGTCAGGAATCTGATTCTTTTTTAAAAAAAAAAATTTGGACTAATTGATTTATAGGAAATGTTTTGGTGTTAATCAAAATTAATAGACAGAGTAAAAGAATATGGATGGTCACCCTTTTTTTTTTTTTGGCGCCAAACAGACGAGGCGTCACATTGAAGACCCCTGCTGTACGAAACCTTACACAACCATAGTTTAACTTTTTTAAATATAACCCTAGAATGGATTATGACAGTCATTATCGTTATTTTCCCAAAACAATCATTATCATTATTATTATTAATACCCACCTATATTTGTAATAACTAACAACCAGTATAATAACCTTTTGCATGAGAAACGTCCGAAAGTCATAACCGACAGACGAGAGCCGGAGAGGTTTTGGTTTATTTATTCTAGTCATTTTCATTCATTTTTGGTGAGAAGTCAGTTTCTTGTTATGGTTTTTTGCTTTTTTTTTTGGGCCAGCCACTATCCAGTGATTTGTATGATACTCATAAATTTGATTGATTTGATTATATATTTTCTTCTAGTAAAAGAGAGGCTTGAAGCCATATCATTCTATTGGACATGAAATAATGATTGATTAGGAGTTTTGAATATTTCAAATATTTATCATTATTAGAGAATATTTCGTTTTTAATTTTGATAGATTGTTATCTTTTATTATTATTTTTATTTGCATTTAATTTTGGATTTCTAGGATGTTTTCTCATTGCTTTGCACATCATTGAGTACTGAGTTCTTCATCAGCTTCGTTTTTCCCCTCCCTTCTTACTTTCTCTCTCTCTCTTCTCTAGTCTCTCTTCCTCTCTTTGAATTCAGATCCTTTCAATGAAACATGGACAGAATAAGAACTTCATAGTAATAAACACGTGATGGAAAGGAAGTCATTCATTAAACTTTCATCGTTATGCACACCTGGTGAATTTCAAGTGTTTTATTGCAGGTTACTGCTTTTTTGGGCCAAGAAATCTCGCGTTTTATCTGTCTCGATGAACCGATTGCAATCCGTGAATTGAATTGAAGTTTAATCAAAAAAAATATTAACCATCAAATTATAATCTAATAATGTTGAGAGTTAATTATAAATTTATTTATTAAATCACAATTTTATGAATAATTTTTCTTAATTCAGACTCAATTGAAAGGATCCAAATCAATCGTGAACATTTGCTCCGAGTCTGCCTATTCCTTTGGCTTCTGAGTTCTGAGATCCTTCCTTTGCTTTTGATTAGGGATTTTCATCAACGCGTGACGTGTCTGCCGAGTAAAGACGCAACGTGGAAAGCCAGTGAAAAGTGCAAGGACGGGTCTGCAAATTTTATCTATAAATATTTGTTTCCTTGTCCATGTGTTTTGATCAAACGATCATCACAAATTTAGAGTCTGTTTAGAACAGTTTATAAATAACTTATAAATTATTTTTTAATAGTAAATTACAGAATATAAGGCAGGTATATAAAAGGAGTTTTGTTTTAGCTTACGAACATATTTATAGGGGATTTTCACTGTTTTGTCAAAACGAGGGTTAGTTTTAAGCTTACTCGATAAAATGCCGACAATCTTTATTCATACTGAACACTCGACTTAGCTTTAGTGTTATATTTTATTATTCCCTTTCAACTTTAGCTTTTATTCTCTCTTCTTGACTTCGTCAGCGTCATGACAAATCTGTAAGAGTTGGGGCCAGTGATTCTTTCGTCTATTACACCCGGAACAGGATTGAATATGATGGCGCATTCGAAGAGTAATATCGCAACTGAACCAAAACAATGAACATTCTTAATAGAAAAATTACTCAAGTTAATTCTAATAAACGGGTAATCTCCTCACGTAACATTATGCACTACTATTATATATCAATCCATAAATTCCAGTAGATTAATTTGAAAAAAAAAAAAGAATTAAAATATTATATTTAAAATCAAATTTAATATATCTCAACTAGCTCCTGTATTAGTGATCAGAAAAAAGTACAATTTATTATCAATTAAAAATTAGATTGAATTCATGCAGTGCATCTGAGTCCTGAATTTTGCCAGTATAAGATGTCAGTCTTAAAAAAAATGTCATAGTTGTACGGGAAAAAAGTCTCTCCCAGATTGAAGTGTTGCCCGAAATGAAAAGGCTGATCTTTCAAAAATTCCAAGCAGCAAAAATATCTTCAGAAAGTCACCGGAGCACAATTTGAAAACCTGAGTCTCCAAGGAAGAACTAATCAAGTTACATTATTGAGTATAGTGCTCAGTAGAAACAAGGGTTGAAAGCAAAAGCTGCACTTAATGGTATCCGGGTCGCATACAAGCAAAGATATCACTGATACAACGGTGTTATAGAGGTGTTGCAAAACCTGTCACAAGAACAGTGAAAATTAGGATTGCCAAGTAGAAAATGAAACAGAAGTCCAATATGAATAAAATAAAGCAAGCGGTAAAATGATGGACAAGATAATGAAGGAACTCAGCATTGACATGAGAATGAAGGCATTCATTATTCAACGTGGCAATGTCTTTGATAGGATGAAACAATAGAACCCACAGGTCACAAAGCCCCAGCTTATGATACTACTACCTTCTAAAGGAAATTTTTTTCCTCCAGACAGGAACAAATAGACACAACCTGTAATTTCCTTTACACTGAATCCATCACTCATGTTTTTCGCTGCTGCTTTAGTATTCTCCCACATTAGCTTGCTCCAAACAATTGTCCAAAAATATCAAGCAGTCAAGTCAGTTATACTCCCCTAATTTCCGGTTTACAAAGTCAACCATGAAGATCTTGACACACAGATTCTCTCTCCCCTTACTAACCACACATGCACACTTAAATTCAGAGCTTGAGCAAATCCATTCAGACCAAGGAATAGGTAATGGCTCAGATATCAGATAAAATCCACAGCAGTAAGCCTTATGTTTAGCTTAAAGGCAGATGGAACCAACGGCAGCTACTAAAGAAGGATTCAAGGTTGAGGGTGTTCTGCTCTAGATTGAAATGTTTTAAACAAGAAAGTTGTAGTGAATTAGTTATTATAAAAAGAGGAACAAGGTATACCAATGGTAATTGACTCAAGTAGAAGGAACTTGATGCCCTTTGGGTAAGGTCGAGGTTTCAAATCTTGTGGATTAAAAAAAAAAAAAATCAAGTTAACTTTTATTTAGGCCTGATAATGCTCGGATCTGGATTAATTAGTATTGAAGAACATAGTTGTATAAAAAAATGAAAGAAAAAGATCCATTTAACTTCAGAAAGTCAAAACAAACTCATGACACAAGGTACGGTAGAAAGCATCAAAAGCTTTGAAAAACAAGAACCAGTAAAACTGAAAGGCCTAGTTGGGCTCGCAGGCCTTAACACTCTACTTAAAGACAAATCCCGTTTTGCTTGCATAGAATAGGGGTCCGGGAAAAACACAGGAACAGAAGAGAAGAGAAGCACTTCTTCCAGCAACCCAGGTGTATATTCAGCCAATCTATTCACGGAAGTCCCCTCCATAGATGTGACTGATGCTACAATGAAGAAAGTCTTCATGAGGTGTCTGCAAGAAGTTTTATGGTACCATAGTGGTGAGAATGCAGGCTAGCACATGTATCAAAAAGTAAATGAGCATTTTTAGAGTCAGCCTACACTCTGTTTCCTATTAGTGACTGATTTAAGTCAATGCCAGAGAGCCCATAAACTAGCTAGCCTATATCATAGTCAACCCTTCCGGTTACAACCCTATAATTTCAAGGGGTCCAGTGCATAAAAATATCAGTACCTAAGCTCTCAGACAACAGTAACACAATCACCAATGAAAAATAATTTAGCCAAAAATAGAGTTCGCTGCAACCAAACTTTTTTTTTTCAAATAAACACAATCTTCAATTCATTTGGTATGGCTGAAAAATTCACGCAGAAACAAAACAAAGCCAAGAAATTTCACAAAATTATTCTCAATAAATTTAATACCGACTAGAATCACTGTCAAGGCAATGCATCAAGTTGGGGAGGGGTGTTTGCTGACAATTACTCATATGGTACGACTAGGAGGAGCCTGAGAGCAAGATAGACTCTGTCGGCATTTGGCAGCAGGAGCAGTTCAGGGAACCTGGTGGTCTCTATTGGCAATCACCTTCAAATTTATTAGTAGTAGATCGTGCTAGTATGAGAGGCCTTCATTTCATATCTATCATTCCTCATTTTAAAACTAGCCTGTTAGTAAAATCAAATGCCTTCTCTAAAATTTGAATTTCTAAACTTCAAGTTTGCTGTGAAGGAACTAGCAGTTAAAAATTCCCTATGCCTTCCACTTAAATCATACAAAGACTTGAAAGTTGTCCTTCACATTCCAAACACACGTGAAGCTGTGAAACAAATCTCGTAGATCCTTCCGTTCCCTTGTGCAGACCTAAGACTTGTCGCATCATATGTTATTGCTACTTCTCTACAGAAAGAGTTGCAAACCTTGTGCAATGAAACGCACAAACAGAGATCTGGGACTTGAAGGAAAATTAGTAATGCGTGTGTTTGGAGGACAAGGATGACATGTTATACCCAAAACACATAAATTAACCGAGCATCATCACCCTCGTCATTACCATTATATTGAGGCAACAATCAAATTTACAAATAACCGAAGTACCTATTACGTAACAGTGCCCATTTTGCCCCCAAAAAAAACAACCACAAATGAGATTGTGAACCACAGAATTGATATTAAAATGATACTACAGATTTGAAAGGGAGTTCAGGAGCGGTACCTTCAGATAGACAACCCCACTTGTTACTGTGTAGAGATAGCAGAGAAGTGAACAAGGCAGTGGAAGTAGCACTATGCAACGGCATCAATGACACCTGCGCGCCAGCCAACTGCTTTGGAAGCCTAAAGCACAACAACATCAAAAAAATTTAGGAATCACAGCAGGGGAAACAGTCCTAATGCGTTAAGGAGGACTTTCAAATAACAATATAGGAAAGCAAAGACTGTTGTATGTTGCACAAAGAAACAGATCATTCTCCCCGTAAATGATAAGAAATGTTGAGACTAATGCAAGGAAAAACGTCATTTGATTGTCTTCAAGAATAGACAGTAACCTTAATACGCTGTATACTGTAATCACTAGGTTCCAGAAACACCAAATGAGGGTTACATGTAGGGCAAGAAAATGATAATAGTACGAACAAAGCAGAGGAATTCACCAGGAAAACGAGAGCGAGCGCCTCTGCGCAGCAACTCGAGAAGCAGACGATGCTCTGCATGAACCTAACCCGCCAAGTTTAGAGGCATCCGAAGTAAAAGCAGATGAAGAACGACGAGAAAGATGGGCTCTCGCAGAAGCGGAAGCGAGTTGGAGGGATTTTCTAGAACAGGTAGCCGCCATGCCTTGTGCTGCGCTGAATGCGAGCGAAAGGCAGTCCCTACTAGGGTCTAGGGAGGCAATTCACACTCCTGCTGAGTCCTGCACAAGGAGGGAATCACCGAAGGGTTGTTTCTGGGCTGGGTCGATATGAATTGAGCGCTTGGTTTGCAATGGGCCTTTTTTCCATTATGCTAACTTCAAAATGGCCTGAATTTGACCTTGCTCCCATATTTTCGAAAACAGGGACAAAAATTGGAATCTCCTGACCCACACTTGTTAAAAGATAGGGTTGATATAATTTTTTGACCCTTTAAGTTTAGACCCGTTTTAATTTTGGTCCCTGAAATTTTAAACATGTGATTTTGATTCTTGAAATTTATTCCGTTACAAAATGTTAGTCCCTAGCCGTTAATTTTTGTTGAGCTGGCACAAACAGTTTTAATTTGGATGATGTGGCTTTTGACTTAACAACATGAGCTGATTAAGTGGTGTGATATCCCATTTAAAAATCTATTTTTAAGTGACATTTCAATTGCATTATTTTTACATTAGCATAATTGTTTGATGATTTCCTAGGCAAATATTATTTGGTAGATGTTAGTTATCCAACACAAATGGGATACGTTGACCTGTACAGACATGAGTGTTATCACCTTTTAGACTTTAGTTATCAACCAAGATTTTAAAATGAGAATGAGACCTTCAATTATCATCATTCAAGTTTGAGATACACTATTAAAAGAACTTTTTTAAGGTTTGGAAGAATAGGTCTGTAATCTCAAAAGATAGGCTCAAATTCAAGTTTCAAACACAAGTCCGCACAATTTGTGCAACAATAGCTATGCAAAGTTTTAGCATACAAAATTCTCCAATTTATGACCACTTTGTACAAGTTGAATATGAAAGTGTAATAGATAAAGACAATAACTATAGAGTTGATAAGTCATTCTCGTCAAGTTTAACATATGCCACACAAATGAATTGTGTTTGTGAGTTAGTCAGAAACTAGATTATACAAAGTTTATGATCTAATTAGTTATGTAACTTCATTTATTTAAAAAATGAACATATTAATGAATTTTAATTTATGTTCATATTTGTCTATTATATATATTTAATTATCTACAGTGTATTTTCAAAATTTTCTCACTAACAAATTTTTTTATTTTATAATTTCACCAAAAGAACAATTTTTATGTTATTATAATAATTGTAGGTATTTTTTTCAACTATTATCACGTTAAAAACGTATAACATTAAACACTATTATTCAATAAAGTTTATGTTATTTTCAGTCATTTAATAATTAAAATTATTTTTTTATTAATCATTTAAACAAATTTTAACTTTTTAAACTGATTTTTTATAAACATTAATCATATTATATTAACTGACTTGTAATCCAACTCATATTTATAAAAATCAGATGGAATAAAAGTGCTGATTCAAACACGTCCTTAATTCAGCAATGGTCCAGGTCATGTCATTTTGAAAAATCCAGTGACAAACCTGAATCCGACCGGGAACCGGACCCAGAGCCAGGAAAGCGCCATGAGTGGGACTCCAAGCTGACGTGTCCAGGTGGCAAATGGCAACACCGTGATTGATCTTCGCCTTACTGTTCGGATCTAAAAGATCCGCCTCATACACCCGAACCTCTGGAACCGAGTGGCAGTAATAGAGACAGAGTAGATAAGGAAACAGGCTCTGATGATACGACACTGATTGGGTGACCCGCCCACCGTTGATCCGTTTGACCGAACCCACCACCACGCTCTTCTTCGAGGAAGTAACATAAACAGTGATGATTTTGTCATTTCCCTTTTCCACAATGGGAATAAAAAAGAACCGCATACATGTTTTATTCTGATACGCATAGTTTAATCATACAAATAAATATTAAGCACAGAAGTTAAACAAATAAAGAAATTAGGAACATGGCAATTAAACGTTTAGTGCATTCAATCTCGAAACAACTATATATGTGACTCCATGTCAGTGTATCGAAACAGTTGTCTTCCATTATATTGCCAAATATAATGGAATTATCTCTCGATCATACAATTCTAAAATTACGTTTCAGGGAAAATACAATAACGCATCGTTACCCAGAAAAAAAAAAAAGGGAAAATTTCACTGTAGGACCGCAGAAGACAATTAATTTCAAAGAGCCCCCAAAACTTTCTGAAACTTCACTGCAGGACCAAGGGGGCAAACTGATATTAACTTCACAAAGAAAATGACGCTATTGCCCCTCATAATACTTATTGCAGGGTGACATGTAAATGGATTAATTTCAGTTGTAAATAAATGTATGTATGTTGCAAATTGACTAGTCTCACTTGCAAATGGGTGCTCCCACACTTGTTCACTCACGGAGACCTTTTTCAGGTGAAGGAAGTGACATGTAAATGGACTAATTCCAGTTGTAAATAAATATATGTATGTTGCAAATTGTCTAGTCCCACTTGCAAATGGGCTGTCCCACACTTGTTCACTCAGACACATTCTTCAGGTGAAGAAGGTAATATGTAAATGGACTAATTTTAATTGTAAATATATCTATGCATGTTGTAAATTATCTAACCTCACTTGCAAATGGGTTCTCCCATACTTGTTCACATGAGGGGCAATAGGGTCATTTTCTTTGTGGAATTAATATCAGTTTGCCCCTTGATCCTGCAGTGAAATTTCAGAAAGTTTTGGGGGCTCTTTGAAATTAATTCTGTACTGCGGTCCTTGAACGAAATTTTCCCAAAAAAAAAACTAGATTGTGTTTCAATTAATTATATATTATCTATAGTTAACTGATTTTTTCTAATAAAATTTAATTGAGATTTGATAAGACTGAAGTTCACTTAATTAGAGTACGTAGTTTATACTAAAAGAAAAGGTAAGGTAACATTTAAAGACTGGATGATATTTTCCAACCGTATCTAATATTTTAATTTTATTTATGGCGGATCCAGTATTTTGGTATCATTTTTCTAAATATTTTAGCACCCGCCTCTTTACTATCTTCATCTTATTTATAATACATTCAGATTCAGCATTCAAAAATCATAAATTATAAGTAATATTAGGATGTTGGATGTAACTAAACAACAACATTAAAAAGTGTTGGATGGGTCAGAAAAATAATATTAGAGTATTGGATACACAATAAATTAAATAAATAATATTATTGGGTACAACTAAAAAAATAACATCAAAATACTATATGCTATTATATATATATACACACATATATAAAGGCTGACTTAGCCTCTGGTATTGCCTTGATTATTTTACTTATTGCAACTATTACAATATGATTTAGCACATATCAAGGCAACCCCAGAAAATTACTGACAAATTTAAAATTATATTTTTTTACTATAAAAATTTAAATGATAGCTTAAAACTAAATAATTAGAGATTCTAGGCGAGATCTCCTCATAAATATATCCGATTATGATAATTAATTAAACAAAATCTTTTATTCAGATCTGAAGCGCCTCGATTCTCAGACTTGATTGCTAAACCGAAAAGAAGTATGAAGGTGGAACGAGACGCCACATTTAAAAGTTTTCGAGCACTCCACACGCTGCGGATCCAAAACATGCGCTGGCATAATGTGTGCATTCACTGATTCGCAAGACATCTTTTTATAACACGAATTTTAACACGTTTCAATAATTCTCAACCCTTTTCTTTAATAACATTTATTATTTTTTTTCAAAGTAATTTATTTATTTATAAACTGGTATATGTACTACTTCTGATACTTAATAGATAACATTGTTTGACTTTTATTTCGATCATAAATATAAAATTTCAATCCATTTTGTCTCTCATATTTATGTATTTTTTTCAAAATAGTCCTTCTAATAATAGTAGTTCTAACTAATGCACTTGACTAATAAGGATATTTTAGGAAAAATAACACATATTTATTAAAAATAACTAACTTGACTTATTTTCTTAATCTATTCAAATTACTCAACTAACTCTCATATTTAGGATTATAGATAGTATAATCTAATGTTATTAGAGTACATTTTAGGAAAATTAGGCCCCAGCTGGGCTATAATTGTTATAATTAACTAATTTATTTAATTTTTAAAATTTATTCAAATTAGTTAAATAATTAGGTCAGAGCTTGGGCTTCACCCGGTTGTTCAAATTGCAGCATCATGCTGGCTTGCCCACTCCAATATATGCTGCCAACAATGCATCATAAGAATATATATAACACCTCCTCCAACCTTTAATATAAGAATTAGTTAATTAATTTGAGTATATTAAGGAAATTATTTAAGTTAGTTGTTTGTAATAAATAAGTGTCGTCTTTCCTAAAATACTCTTGCTAATTAAGTGTTATTTGATGAAATATTTTATATATACAATTACTACAAAAACTATCTTTAAAAAATAGATAAATAAGAGAGACTAAATGAATTAGGATCTTATATTTAGAATCAAACTAAAAATTAATTAATTCTTATATTACGACGTGAAATTAGTGCATGCCTTTCAATTGCACTGAAAATTACCCGAGTACACGTGTTCTTGCAAATGATACTTTTGCAACAGATGACTATGTTTGGATTGCAGTTGGAGAAGCCAAAAGCATATGGGAAAGCGTGAAACTGAGGTTAGTGGCTTATTGTGGCTCAGAAGATTGTTTGGATGGGACTGCTTTTCTAACTGACTTATGGGAAAAAGTAACTTTTCTAACTGACTTGTCCAACGCAATCTGAATCAACTTTTCTAACTGACTTATAGGAAAATTGTACAAAGCTTACGATCTAATTAGTCATGTGATTTCATTTACTTTAATTAGAGACTAAATAAATTTTAATTTATATTCTTGTTTATCCATTATGTATATTTAATTAATTATCTACAAGGTGTTTTCAAATTTTTCTCCGTAACAAATATTTTTATTTTATAATCTCACAAATAAACTATTTATATTTTACCATAATAATTTTATGTATTTTTTAAACTATTATCACATTAAAAACATATAATTTCAAACACTATTATTCAATAAAATCTATGTCATTTTCAGTCATTTACAACC